CCCCAAAACCCCAAAACCCCAAAACCCCAAAACCCCAAAACCCCAAATCATAAGTCTTGTATTGAGTTTAAGATCCTATCTTTGTTTAATACTTTAGCAAGTAATTTAAAATGCTCTGTTCAAGAATAATTTGAACATAACTAGAGAGTTTCTTGGTTGATCCATTGGCACCATATGGCCAGCTTGATATACTTTCAAGAACGAGAAGTTGTCAACTTTTTTAAACTCTCCAGCTTCTTTACCATCCACTACCCACTTTTGATATGGCTCGTCCATCATCCAATTCTGAACCCCACATTTATATCCGTTTCCACAGTCCTTATGCTCCCAGAATACCTCGCTTGTCCAATCTTCAGAGCCTCTCCAGTTACAAGCGTAATCTTGATCACCATTGTACACAAAGACACCAACTCCATTTTCAAGTGTGTCTCTGACCTGGACTGAAGAATCATTCGTCCAGTCACCGAGCATCAAAGCTTGAATGTCGAGTCTGCATGACTTCCAAGTTGCATCCTTACCCACAGATTCAGGATTAAATGGAGATAATGGATCCACAGTAGATTTGGGATTTACGCCTAGCAACTCCTGAATCTCTGGCTTAGCCAGTAGCTTGTCTACCCCACTCATATCATAGCAGAGAGGAGGATGGTCGCACTTCTTCCTGATGTCGTAGAAGTTAAAGTTGCTCTTATCAGTGCCTCCTCCAATGGAGTACATCAGCATGTGCTGACATTGTTTGTAAGCAAGTGTTTTGAAGTTGAAGTTAATTAATTGCTTTCATGCCCAAAAACCAGCATAAAGCACTTTGTTATCAATTTCTCCAATGAGTTTGTTTTCATGGGCATATTCTCTATATGCAGGGTATTGGAGAACAGGTTTGACCCATCCATTTCCGATAGCCACAGATTTTAAATTGATGTCAGTGTTGTTTTTCTTTATAAAATGTGAGGAAATTGCAGGTATCATATGTCCAGCATAGCTTTCACCAGTGATATAAAATGCTCTCTTCTTATATTCAGGATGTTTCTCCATAAATTTGACTATAAATTTATAAAATGTTTCAGCAAGCTCATCCTTATTTGTTGCGTAGTGATCAGGATTGGTGGTGGTGCTAAACCCTGTTCCTAAGGGCTGATCAACATATAAAACGTTAGCGGCTTCATTCCAAGAGTAAGGGTTAGTCTTTAAACTCAAGTCTTCATTGATTGTCCATGGTCCATTTTCATAAAACAAGGCTACTAATGAGGATCAACCTGGACCACCAGAAAGCCATACCACAAGAGGGTCTTTATTAGGTCTTGATCTGGACCTCAGAAGCCAATAGAACATCTCATCACCTGGCTCTACTTCAAGGAGGCCTGCTTCATAATCCTCTCCTCTGAATGGATCTTTGGCACAAGATACCACTACTGCTACTAGAAGGATCATCACTATAAAAGATCTCATATTTCTCTTAAATATTACTATATTTTTCAAATCAAAATTTATAATATGGGGTTTTGGGGTTTTGGGGTTTTGGGG